ATACAGGCAAAACACAAATAAACATAAAATAAAAATGAGTATTTTTTTTTAAAGTTGCAGCTCATGAGACTAAAGCCAAGAGTCAATGCTTCTGCCTCTTTATCAATTCTTTTAAGTGAGAAAGTCTATAAAAGTACTTTACTTTAGAAAGTGAGTTAAGCCAGGCAAGACGGTGAAAATCTGTAATCTCAGCAAGCCAGGGCTTAAAATAAATAAAAATAGATAAATAAGCAACCTTTAAAAAGGAAAAAATTAGCCTTAAACTAAAAAATTCTCTGACAGAAGTAAAAACTATGAAGTTAAACCATAATTAATTATTCACTAGGAGGACAAAAGGCACCCGTGAAAACTGTGTTTTTGCTGGCAGCTACTAATTTAACAGACAACTTACCAACCACAAACGCTCCTCTTTCTGCAAAAGCCAGGGCATAAGCTCGGCCCAGTCCTAATCAGAAACAAAACAAAGAGAAAAAAAAGTTGCAAAATATTAGCATAATTATTTTAGTTCATGAAACTTGATCTCCATTTTAAACTAACAAGTCATCAGTTGGTTACAATAGCAGATGGCATCTTTGCTAGTACTCTCAACGTCCTCTCAACCCTCTTTCTGACTGCAAAAGGTAGAAAAGTTGGAGCCGCATTTGCTGGCCTGTTTGCCCTATCACTCTCTAGCATCCTCCCCAGTTGCTCAATGCCAAGTGTGAACTGGAGACCATCACTAGGTGGATTTTCATGAAACTTAAAAAGTAGAAATGACAGCCGGGCGGTGGTGGCGCAGGCCTTTAATCCCAGCACTCTGGGAGGCTGTGAGTTCAGGGCTAGCCTGGTCTACAGAGTGCGGTCCAGAACAGGTTCCAAAGCTACACAGATAAAACCTGTCTGAAAAGAGAGAGAGAGAGAGAGAAATGACACAGATACCACATTACCAGTGCTCCAGCATGTGCTGCTAAGAAGCTGCTTCTCCTGAAACATCCTCATATTTAAAAAAAAAAAAAAACCCAGGCCTGAAGAAGTAACTTCTTGATCTGGTCTCCTAATCCTTGGACAGCAGCTTCCACACTTCAGGTCCCTGATGTCCTAGGCTACTTAGACCATGACAGAAATCCAATGACAGATCAAAGGGATGACTTCCAAAACCCCACTTGAAACGCAAATGCTTCTGCTAAATTCTTTAGTGTTCTAAAACATCTAGTGATTTCTATAACCTGTGCTGAACCTTGAATATCCAACTGCCAGCTTCAGATCATTTGAACTCTAAATATGTGAGACTGGCAAGCAGAGACGAGCTTTGGGGAACTGACCAGCGAGAAGATACTTGCCTGGCTTAAACGTCTCTAACTTTTTTTTTTCAATCTTAGTTGCTAAATGGAGAAGCTTGGCAGGAAATTTATATTTGGAGTAAACTGATATATACATATGCAAATGAACCAAAATGGATAAATTAATCTGACTTTTCCCAGTGTTGGTAGCAGACATGGGTAATGACAGCCCCTGGGAGATGGAGGGAGGAAGCTCAGGAGTTTAAAGCCAGCTTGGGCTAGATGGGACCCCCATCTCTTTAATAACAACTGGTGCAAAAGAGCCCCTTTACCTATAAGGATAAGAGATCAAAGGTTTAAGTCGATGCCCTATTCATGGAGGTTAGAGGCCACTCACTGGTGTGAAACTAATGGAGAAATATCACTGCAAAACATCTATCTACGTACAGTTGTTTAATTTCCTGTCCTTTAAACTTAGCATTGCTTCAATTACAATTCTCCTAATTTGAAATAAAAGATTGGCAGCTTTTCCACCGCCTGACTCACTTCAGAAATACCTTTGCTCTCAAGTTCTCTTCTCTCCTCTCCCAATATCCCTGTATCATCCCTCGCCCTTTCACACATTTGAGTTTGCGACCTTTGCCACAATTCAGATGAACTTTGGTATGTGGCCCTCTCAAGAACCTGAATCACAAGGCAGGGGAAAACAAACACTAAACGACCGACAAAGTCAAGGGGCTGGCATCTCAATCCCTTGGGAGGAAGGCCAGGCCCAAAAAGTCTTTTTAAGCCCATGTGTGACTTGACAGAGGCCTAAGCGTCCAAAGGCAGCAGAACTCACAGTCCATGCCCACACGCCCACACACGAGAGAGGACGAACTTTTACCCAGTTGTGCACCCGGCTACCCTGCTGACATCTCCCCTGGGAAAGTCGTGGGCCTTGGACGCTCCATCCCAGCTGGGGACTCCGGAGCACCTGCCTGCACGGTCAATGTCCCGGTGCGCCCGGTGCCCCTACGTGCTCGGCCCGCCCGGGTCCGTCCCGATCCACCACCAGCTCCGCATCTCGCAGCTGCACGCCGCAGCCCTGTCATCGGGACAGTGGGCCCGGCGCGAGGCTTACCTCCCCCGGCGCCGGTGACCAGGACCACACGCCCGTCGAACCTCAGCGGCAGAGCCATGAGTCTAGCCGGCACCAAGCACACACTGGCAGTGCACCGGGGTACGCTCGGGGTGATCAGGACAGCCCGCAGGGAGAGGGGCGGGACACCAGCAAGTGATCCGTCGGTTTCAGGAAGCAGATGCCTGCTTCCAAGTGGGCCTGCGTGAGGCTGGCTTGGCATCATGGGAAATGTAGTCCACTACGATTTCTCTTAGAAAATTCGTCCAAGAGTATTTATTGGCTTGGAAATTCTTTTAGAAGAGAGAGCGGCCAAGATCTATGCGGCGAAATGGCTGATTCCGTTCTCTTCTTGCATATATCTCCCTATAGCTTCATCATTCACTCAACAACGTGTTCTGAGTTCAGCCACTGACCTAGATAAATAGTACTTGACTTCCTTTCTGGGGAGGCTTTTTGACATAGCCTCTAAAAAATACAGTTATCCTTCACAGCACTGATCAAGACTTCTCAGAGTGTATCCTCTGGATCTACTATATGAACATCATTCTGAAACTGTCAAAACGCAGAATCCTGCACACCCACGACTACCCTCCCCAAACACAGTGGGACCCCCCCAAAAAAATAATAATAATTTCAGCTAAATGAGTTTAGAATTTACATGTTGGGAACACCCTTACAGTGGTTTTTTTTAATTTATTTATTTATTCAACAAATATTGAGCAGCTCGATCTTAGAAACAGAAGTACTTAACCTGGGGTGGCAAGGGAATGCAGGGAGGGGAGATACTAGCTAGGTTGGGGCAGGAAGAGGATGGAGCTACCAAACTAAACAGAGCAGGTGAAATCAGATTTCAGCGTGTGCACTTCCTGCAGAAAATGGTCCTGAGCAGGGTCCCTCCAGACGATGGTTAGAATATATTTATTTATAGAAAGGTCACTTTGTCCTTCTAAGGAGGCTTGAGGAGAGGTGGACAAGAACATATAAAGGGCCAGGGATGAGATAAAAGAGGGCAGAAGAGGAAATGCTGAAGAGGAAAATGTTGGATGCGTTTTGAAAGGAGTGAATATATCTTTAGGGGCTGTTGGATGTGAGGGAAAAGCAACTGAAAGACATTCCCTGCCTTGACAAGCTATGTTATGGTGGGCCGTTCTCAAAGCAAATAATGGGAAGAACCACTCCCGAACGAGAATACGGGCTCAGTTTTAAGCAGCTGCATTTAGGGAAAGGGGGTGAAGATTCTGGGGTAGATGCCTAGTCAACAGCGTTAGTGCTGAGAGCTGGCAGCAGAGCAAGAGGCGTCGACACCAAAGTTCACGTCCCTTTGCTGGCAGCATAGAGCCTGGCTCAGCCAGCACTTTGTTCTCTCGGCTCCGTGCAAACGTCCTTATCTCATTTGACCCTTGAATTTTCACCTGCACCGAAACCCGAGCAGAGCGACTCAGAGAGCATACAGGACTCAGGATGGAAGGGGGCTGGAGGGAATACATCTCAGTGGTGAAAGACTTGCCTGGCATGAATGGGATCCTGGATTCAACATAATTTTTTTTAAGATTTTAGTATTGAAAAATTAACAAGCTAACAGCTAACTTTTCCAAACAGGCAAGTTTTAATTGCCAAGATAATGAGGCTCTCTTCAGCTTAAGCTGACATAAAATAAAGTAACATGATGCTAGTTAACCCCTTATTCGACCATTGTCCTGACTCCTATACTTTCCTTACAAGGAAAATAATTTTGAAACTACCAATCCACTTGGGCTTTCTGTTCTGCTTTTTTACAAGCCCTTCTCCATTTGTAAAGTCAACATTCTTCACTCAGACTGCGAACACACTCTTGTCTGGACAATCATCGAATAGAAAAGCAGAGACAAAGAATAAAGTTAGGAGCGGGCAGGGTGGGGTATGAAGCCAGTGACCCTGGCCTTCACTCCTCCAAGCTCTGCTTTGTGCTCAGCACCCACAGAGAGTGGTTAAGCGGGGAAGCAGGGGGGAAGCACAATATGCCAAGGGCTCGTCCAGCTCCGGACCTTGGGACCTTTACTCTGACCCAGTGACTTCCAACCAGGCGGGTAGAGGCCACCTCTGCCCAGAAGACACATCTGTCCTGCTCCAGCTGGGTTTTCTGCTTTCCTGACTGACCACGCACAACCCAGTGTGCGAGCATTTCTAAACAGAAGCTTAAGTTAAAATGTAAAGGTTAGACGAGATGTGAGGAATCAGGAACCTGACTCTGGCATAAGCTCAGTAACAACTTTGTGACAGTGTGGGTTTTGTGGCCCAGAGCCCCTCTGGGGAAGCCTCTACAGCAAGCTCAAAGGGGCAATACACCAATACTTAATTATGTGTACTGGTGTTTGGGGTGGGGGGGGTCTACCTTCCCTCTCTGCCTCTTGAGAGGGAGAACTGGTCGAGAGGGGAAAGAGGCAGATGAGACAAGAGAGAGCTTTGGCGGCCCATGAGCATGAGAGGCAGCCCTCCAGAAGACAGCTTTCGGTGAAAATTTGCATTAAGTGGCATGGTTCTATCACAGGACATAGTCTGTGGCAGTAGGGTCCTAGAGCGGAGTCCCTAGCACAAGTGTTCTCAGCAGAACTGTGCCAAGAGTCAAACTAAAGATGAATAGGCATGCTACATTGATCAAAGAGTTTTCAGGGCTACCAACCTTACAGTAGAGGTTGAGTCATAGTATATTTCTCCTACACTAAAAAAATTTTTTAAAAAATTAGGAAAAAAAAAAGATGAATAGGGCGTCTGATTTAGTGACAGCTTTTAGATAAGGTCAGCCCTCCTGGCCCAGAGACATTCTCAAGATAAGGATAAGAGCAGGTAGAGGCAGGACGCTCTGCTGGAGGGAGGGAGCTCCTTTTTGCCCAGCTTATTGAGATAAACTGCTAAGCCATGGGGAGAACTGGTGGTCAGCCACCAATGACTTCCAACAGGTATTTGGGATCGCTCAGGTTTCAACGTAACTGTTGCAGAAAGTCAGTTTTGATCTTGTCTCATAATCTTCCTTGGTATTCCACTAGCCAATCTCGATCGTAAAACTCAGTTTGGGCTATTTCTAGCTTGTCCTGGACCATGGCCAACAGAAATAGGTAAAAACGGGTGACAAACAAAGTAAGTCTACAAATAAATATGTCTAGAATATGAATAATTGCATATTTAGAAATTACAATCGTTGAAGTAGAAGGAAGTGTCTGATTTAATATATTACAAAAGAGGTGTTGTTGGCGGCGACTTGTTCATTCTCAGCTGCTCAGCCCAGAAATAATCACACAGAAACTATATTATTTGCAAAACTGCTTGGCCAGTCACTTAAGCATATTGCTAGCTAGCTCTTACATTTAGAATTAACCCATTTTCATTATTTTATATTTAACCACGAGAATTGTGGCCTACCGGTACGGTTCCAGCTGGCAGCTTGCGTCTTTTCCCTCTGGCAGCTACATAGCGTCCCCTTGACTCTGCGTTCTTTCTCCCAGCATTCAGTTTAGTTTCCCCGCCTAGCTCTACTCTACCCTATCACAGGCCAAGGCAGATTCTTTATTCATTAACCAATAAAATCAGCACATAGACAGAAGAACCTCCCACACAATTTCCCCCTTTCTGTTTAAATAAAAAGGAAGGTTTTAATTTTAACTTAGTAAAATTACATATAACAAAACAGGTATCAAGCAAGAACTGCATTACAACATTTATATCTACTTTATCTTTTATCATAACTAAGGAAAACTATAATTATAACTATCTATTCTTCAACTCACAATACCTTAATCAAGAGCAGAAATATACATATAACAAAATTGACCTTAAATTTGTATCAATAAACCAAGATCCATATCAATGCAAAGTATTCATCTCTATATTATATCCCCCTTTAAATGTAAGCAAACATTTATAAACAATCCTTTAGGGAATTTGGGCATAGTTCTCTCCAAATTGTAATGGTGTGGGAAATTCTTCTGTATATGTGTTTCTTTTATTGGTTAATGAATAAAGAATATGCCTTGGCTTGTGATAGGGTAGAATACAGCTGGGCAGGGAAAATAAAACTGAATGCTGGGAGAAAGAAGGCAGAGTCAACAGGATGCCATGTAACCGCCAGAGGGGAAAGATGCAAGCTGGAACCTGACCTGTAGGCCACGAGCCTCATGGTAAAATATAAAATAATGGAAATGGGTTAATTCTAGATGTAAAACCTAGCTAGCAATACGCTTAAGTGATTGGTCAAACAGTTTTGCAAATAGTATAGTTTCTGTGTGGTTATTTGGGGGCTGAGCAGCTGGGAATGAACAAGGTGCAACCTACTACATATTGGTACACCAACATGGATAACTACATTCACATAAAATTCTGAGAAAGCTTAAAAAGAAATTCTAGACACAAAAGAACAGAGTTAAACATGGCTTTTGGTAGCCACAATCTTTTTTTTTTTTTTTTGTCTAGATGGGCTCACAGCTGCTTGCTTTAAGAGGGGTGCAGTATAAACAGCAGCTTCCTGGTTTGCCAGAACAAATGGCTCTGACTCTTTAGGGAGGTCCAGCTATGGAGCATTTTCATGGGGTCTATGAGCAGACTGCTACAACTTGCTTAATGGCAACATAGACCTGCTGTGTGCCTAAAAATGGGGCTGTGAGCATGGCTCTCAGAGGCAGCGAACATGTCTCCACAATGTTGGATGAGGGGGAGTAAGCAGGCAGGACCATGTTGGCCCTAGTCACGCCCACTTAGGATTTTAAGAAGCGGTCCTGGTCAGAAAATAATTACAGATACACAACAAAAACAGATTCAGATGAAAAAGAGCTCTAAATGGGTTACAGTGTGTTTTAAAAATGTGCATAGACTTAGGAGAGAGAAGAAAAAGAGTAAAGAGACAGTAAATATAATACAAAAGAATACAGACAGTCATAAATTAAAAGAGTAAAGATGATAAAATAAATATTAAACTTGTAGGAAAATAATAGAGTAAGAAAAATAAGTCATGTAAAGATGGAATATACACAAAGAGTCGGGATTATGTATATTATTGTGTTTTCTTTGAAATTTTTGACTGTGAAGGTGCCAAGTACAGAGAGATATTTTATTGTACAGGCTACTAAGCTAAACCAACATATATAGCTTAAAGATGTCTTGACTTCAAAATATGCATCTAAGAATATGTTGCTTTGGAAAAGAGGTTCTTCTTTTGTTTCCACAGAAGATGAAAACCTGTGGATTAATTCCAGACAAATGTGGTTTGATGGACCAAGATCCCCTGAAAGGTCACTATGAACACCCCCAAAAATACATCACCCAACAAAAAGCAGGAAGCAGTTTGGAGAGAATTATGCCCAAATATTGTTTATAAATGTTTTGATATATAAATGGGAATATGATATAGAGATTTACATCGGTATGGATCTCAGTTTATTGAAACAAATTTTAGGTCAATTTTGTTATATGCATATTTCTGCTCTTGATTAAGGTATTGTGTTTGTGCAGCTCATTTAAAAACATAATGTATAATTAAGAAATTCAGGTTACTAGATAGACATCTATATTAGTCAAGTTTGTAGTCATGTTAGTTAGGTTTTCTATATATAGAGACAGATTTCGGTTAGATGGGTATTCTTCAAATCTTTCAAAGACTACAGAATATAGCATTTAAAATGTTTTAAGAACTTAGTACTTTTCATGACAATGAGACACATCTGCTTCTGGCAGTACCAGTCTACTTCAAGAGGATGATGGGCATCGAAGAGGCTCCTCATAAAGTTTGTTAGCCATTTGGTAAAGAAAATGCTCTTGCCTGGACTGCTTGACGGTATGTTGTGTGAACTAGACATTCAGAACCCACAGAGAAATGGCTGCTGAACTTGCCTAAAGGTGAGACAGTCCCTTGGGGTTCCTGTTTCATGAAAGAGACTTCCAGACATTCTACAGGACACAGAAGAAAGTAACTGACAACTTGTCACTATAGGTGAAACTGTCTCTGAAATTTCTTGCTTCGTGAAAAAGTCTGACTGATACTATGGGCCAGTAGGCTGAAGATGGGTGCCGGCAATGTTACAGAAAAACTTTGGGTGACTGTCCAGGCAGAGGACAGTCTCTGTCAATTCTAGAGTTTTAGAAGTTATTTACAAAGCACTTTCTGTTAACTTGGGTAATATATCCTTCTGCAGTCTTTGATGGAGTTGAAGAATAGATAGTTATAGTTTTCCTTAGTTATTATAGAAGATAAAGTAGATACAAATATTGTAACTGTAATTTTTGCTTGATACCTGTTTTGTTATATGTAATCTTACTAAATTAAAATTGAAACCTTCCTTTTCATTTAGACAGAAAAGGGAAAATGATGTCGGATTACCCTCTGTATGCTGTGATTACCATTGATTAACAAAGAACTTCTTTGAGCCTATAGCAAGGCAGAACAGAGTTAGGTGGAAAAAAACTAAACTGAGTGCTGGGAGAAATAAGGTGGAGTTAGGGAAACGCCACGGAGACGCCAGAGGAGAAAGACACCGGCTGCCAGCCAGAACCTTGCTAGTAGGCCACAAGCCTCATGGTAAAATATAGGATAATAGAAATGGGTTAACCAAAGATAAAAGATCTAGCTAGCAATATGGTTAAGTGATTGGCCAAGCAGAGATTTAAATAATAAAGTTCCTATGTGATTATTTCGAGAATCTGAGCAGCTGAGAAGCGAACAAGTGGCCTCCCACAACAAAGAGGTTTGCAGCATAAGTATGGATTTATTTATACATACATGTCTATAATTGTCTTGTCTTGCCCTGGAGTCTTAGAAGAGAAAGAAATTTATACTTGCTAATTAAAAGCAGCTTAGTTCAGTTATGGTGACACATGCTTTTAATCTCAGCACTTTGAAGGCAGAGGCAGATGGATCTCCATGAGTTCCAAGGTCAGTCTCTACCACTGCTCTGATGATCAGCTTCTAGCAGCTAAGGGGTTAAGGAGAATTCAACAATCAGTGGATGAACAAAGTCAACTTGACTTTTCTTATATGAGGGAGTAAGCTTAATTCTCTAGGATTAGTGAAAAAGGGACATACATACATACACACACACACACACACACACACACACACACACACACCAACATGCCAGGACCTCACCTAGGGTGCTGATGAATGGCAAGCCTTCATCAGGTCAGAGACACTGAAGAGGAGATGCAGAGCAGGTGAACTGCTGGACAGAGAGACAGACACATGAGAACTTTTCTGAAGGCCAAAGCTTAGTTCTTCATTTTATTATTTTTACTATAGTTAGTTCTATTCTATCTCTTTTCTGTTCTGTTTTTCTATCCTGAATTTTCTCTCTTGATGTCTTTCTTCTAGCCATCTTTATTTTTTTTCTTACAGCTTATATACCCCACTTACGTGTGTGTGTGTGTGTGTGTGTGTGCATACAATTATATACTTACAGCTTTATATACTTAAAATCTTTTAAGCAGTATAAAAATCAGAATGTGGTTTTCTATTTTTAAGTGAATGATTACAATGAATACAAGTAAAAAATAACATATTTTCTATATCCCTTACATGATTAAACATTTTACCTATTACGGGTAAAAAACCAAGTTTTCCCAAGATCCCTTACATTCACACCCAAACAACTTGTTATAGATTAACAGAGTATAAGCAAGCAAGGCATTTGTCTTAGCCAGTTCATTTAGATAGATAGATGATAGATAGATAAATGATAGATA